AAAAAAAAAAAAAAAAAAAGGGAAAGCCAAAGTACCTGTCGGCTTGAAGATGGGAAAAATAAGAACAGATCCGACTCTTTTATAGATGCTGGAAGTGTGCGTGTCCCACAAGAATAAGGACTTTGAGTTGGGATAAAAGAAGGATACACAGTCCAAGTAGAATTCTTCTGAGCTTTATTTCAAAAACAGAGTTTAAGGAATATAAGGACGTCATCAGCTGTAGAAGGCTTCTACGGGAAATAAAAGATGATGTTGAGCATGGGTTAAACATAACGGAAGTCCAATTGTGATTGTGATGATTAGCCTTCACGTGGGATTAATATAAGTCATTGTTGTTGCAATTCATGTCAAGTTGATGGCTTAATGGACAGAAATTTAATAAAGCCCAAATAGCCTTAAATTGTGATGGGCAAAAAATTAGCAGGCTAAAAAAGGTTAGTGGGTCAAGGAGTTAATGGGACTTTAAGTTAGTCTCAAAGTTCTACGGCTTTCAAAACTCGATAACTCTGCTAAGGCCCAAATTACATCATAAGCATGTTGATAGTGTCACCGTGAAAGTTGGACCCTTTTAAAAATTTCCCAAGTCCATGACATTGTCTCCAAGTCAGAGAAAGTCGCGACTTCTTAACTCCAAGACACGTTGTCCGTTAACAAGTCTCGAGGGGGCATTTGTAGGCAGTTAAATTTTGAGCCAATAAAATGGCGACAAGTGTTAAATTCCATGTTAAAATCAATTTAATAATTTTCTATTTTATTTGGGAAATTAATCAAATTTTAATTCCTAAATTAAATAGTTAATTAATTGATTATTTAATATATACATTGTTGGCCAATTAAAGAATGCCACGTGTATATTTTTTAAGGCCAATTAAAGAATGCCACATGTCATTTTCTTGGAGAGTAAAATAAATATTTATTTCTTTTAATAATTATTAAAGAGATAAATGAGTGGAAATTCATGGACCAATCAAATTGAAGTCTTCTTTTCCAAGACTCTCTCTCCTAATTATCTCTTTAAATAACTATTAAGAGATAAATATTGGAAATTATGGACCAATCAAATTGAAGTCTTCTTTTCCAAGACTCTCTCTCCCAACACCTATAAATAGGGGCTCTCCCTAAGGTGAAAAATCACAATTCATATTCAAGATCACAAGTCATATTCAAGTTCAAGAGCTTTAGAGAATTCTCTCCACGAGATTCAAGTGTTCTTGAAGATCCAAACGCGTTCTTGAAGATCCGAAGGAAGATTCAAGCATGTTCAAGCCCAAAACCGACGTTCAATCCGGAAACAAGCTGTCAATCCTCCGAATTGCGTCATTAAATTCAAGTGTTCTTGAAGATCCAAAGGCGTTCTTGAAGATTCAAAGGAAGATTCAAGAGCGTTCAAGTCCAAGACTGACGTTCAATCCAGAAACAAGCTGCCAAGCCTCCGAATTGCGTTATTCAAGTTCAAGTGTTTTGAAGATCCAAAGGCGTTCTTGAAGATCTGAAGGAAGATTCAAACGCGTTCAAGCCCAAAACTGACGTTCAATCCGGAAACAAGCTGCCAAGCCTCCGAATTACGTTATTGAAGTCAAGACCAACGTAAAGAAGATCAAAATCAACTTTGCGGCGAAGACCAAGGAATCGTGTTCATCACGTTCTTGGGAAATCACAACGTTCGATTCGAGATCAAGCTGTCAAGCCCTAGAAGAAACGTTACTTAAATCCAAATTCAAGACCGGCGGAGATCAAACTGAAGATTTGTCTCCAAAAGTCTCATATCCACTTGAAGATCGTTCTTGAAGAAATTAATCAGAGAAATAATAGAGATTTGTAATCCACTATATTTCATTTGATCCGTTGAAAATCATTTGTACGAAGTTCTCGTGTTTATTAATTCAATAATACAAAAATTTGCGTTACAATCCCATCGAGAATATTCTTGAGATCGTTAAGTGGGATTTATGTGCGTACGTAATTTGGAGATGATATATTTACAATGATATTTAGTGTAATAATTAATAGGGAAATAGTACGGTCCCGTTACGGTACCATCCCATCTGGTGTTTTAACCGTTGGATCATCTATCTTATCTAACTACATGTGGATCCAACGGTTAAAACAGCCGACGGGATGGTAGCGTAACGGGACTGTAGCATTTTCTTAATTAATAATATGGGTGTCGAGAAATTAAGGCAGTAGAAAAGCAGGGACATATAATTATTTTCCATAACTTGGTCCCTTAACTACTTGCAACAAAATCTCACCAAGTGTCGTTGATGCATTTGTATCGATATTATTCATCTTCATCGAAATATTTCACTTTACTCATTTGCCATAAACTCGTGAGCTTCCTCACCTGCCCCCAGCAACTCATATTTTCCAATATTTAGTTCAACCAAAATTTATATATTCACCATAATAATAATAATAATAATAATAATAATAATAATAATAATAATAATAATAATAATAATAATAATAATAATATAAAGAACAAATAATATGTGGATCTAATGCATATACTAGTACAACATCCGTGTATTACAGAGATGCTTGTTAAAAAATTATTCTTAAATTTGGAAACTAATGAGAGAAATTATTTTAAATTTTATTTACTTTTTTATAGAAATATATATTATTATATATATATTTGGGAATGACACTTGTTATTTGTGCGACACGTGTTATATTATAGTAAATTTTAATAACTTATGTCATATAACTACTTGAAATATAAATATATTAACTAATAAATAATTTTATTGTTTTAATTAATATTAAAAATAATTTTATTATTGTTATAAAGATAAATATAACTTATTGCATACAATGTGGATGTTAAATCGAACATCATTAAGAGATGATTAATTTGATATATTATATATATATATATATATAATTGATGAAATAAAATACAAAAGTTATTAACTTTTAAAATACATTTACAATTCAATAGTTATAGTAAGAAATAATATTAAAATGCAGTTAATACATATAATACGGTCATAAATAATCAACATATTTATGGATAATCCGTTCCTAATTATTTTTAGATTGAAAGTAAATTAAAATCTATCCCACCCTAGTAACGAACCATGTAATTTTGTCATATAAGATCTCGAAACATGCGAGTCTGTCACTTAGGCTCAGCACGTTCTGAAGGCTCAACACGCTCTGAATTAATGTTGAAGGGAATATGTTTGATGCCTCAAAATTAAACAATTAGACATGTTGCATAATTTAATAAATATCATATATAAAGTGTTGTTGGTTTTAATTATAAATTATAATTAAAATTAACACTAAACACAATTAAATATAGCAATAGACAATATTAAAAACTAAATTTTTTCTCTTTTTGTGTTTTTTTTTTTTTTTTAAATTCATCATACAATAAATTCGAGCTACTGAAAAAATCCGCGTATACTAACGAACTTCCAAATGCTGCTGTCCTTTGCAGCCCGAGCAGCTGAAGCTACTCACGGGTCCATTTAATTAACCTATTTACAATCTCCAACCTTTTTTAACAATTTAATTTATTCTCTTCTCCTATATATATACACAAATATATTCCCCAATCACACAATAGAACCAAAGCACAAGTAAAAATATCACAAAAATGTCATTCACTACTAAAATTTTCATGGCAATAATAATCATTCATATTTTACTACTCTTCTCAACTCCTACAATTGCAAGGCACTACCCCATACTTCCCAGTGCCCCCTCCACAGCACTCCCCAAAATCGGGCCGAAAACGAGAGGCAGCTTTTTTACCACGTCCCCATCGTCGAATCACAAGCGCCAAGTTTTTCACGGCCGTGAAATCAACGACTGCATGCCCAAAGGGTTCCCTCATTCGTCAGCCCCTAGCCGCTATGTCAACTATCACAAGCTCGGCTCCTCCAAGTGTTCATCGGGCAAGAACTAAAAAAAAAACGCATCACCGTCGTAAAGAGACAATTATTGTAAAATTAATTAACCAAGTTTATGTGTATTGCTATTACTATTTACTAGTAGTTATTTACTGTAATGGTTTTCCAAGGGGCAGTTTTGGAGAAACAGGGCTTATGTATGGCTTCCTCTGCTTGGGAACAATAGTTTTTGCCTTGAGAACTATAATCATCAGTGTCTTTTTCCCCTTCTTTTCTTGCAAACCATGTATGAGTGAAATTTGCGATCGAATAACATCGGAAGCAATATATTTCGATGATGAGGCAAATGTATTTTATTGTATGCGGAAAAAGTTAAATATGTAGCGTTTATTTTGTACTCGCTTTTATCGAATAGTGCAAATGGATACAGAATGTGTTTTTAACAGTCGATATTGCTTGCTCATTACTCATTACGATATTGCTTGCTCATTACTCATTACGGTATTGCTTGCTCATTACTCGTTACTCATGTCGCATTCATTACATCGTCTAATCAACCCATCCCAATGCAATTGTACTATTATTATCCGGCATTTCTACCATTAGCACGAATTCCCTATATCTATCGTCCAACGCACGAGATTAATATTATGTGTATATGTTCGCGCCATTGTTTGCACCCGTTACATACGCTATTATGGTCGAATAGAAAGTGTAACAGGAAAATCAGCTGGTAAAACTATATTGTATGCCATATTGATAAGAGATTGTGAAAATGTTCATCAATTACAAGTGGTAAAAAAA